GTTGGTGATTGGCTAATGGTTACACAAGCCATCGTTATGACACCATAAAGTGGCCAAAATCTGATCAACTCATTTTCAGACAGGTTTTTATAGAAATGGATCAGGACAAAAAGAGAGGGGGTCTTTGTTCATCATATAAAGCTTGTTTATGTATAAAAGACGTGAAAAGCGGATTTTGCATAATAGGTGACCTTTAAGTAGTTTATTGACAAGCACCAAGGTTCACAAAATCTTTTCACATTTTCACTGAAAGATGAAAGTTGCCTCTATGTCAAAATAACAAAGTGATGTTCCTTCTGGTGTTTCACAGAGGTAGTCTGCTCACAAAGAGGCAGGATCAGGCTGCCAGGAAGATCATGAGGTTCCTACGTCGCTGCCGCCACAGGTAGACCCCGACACTGACTCTCACACATCCTAACCTACTAATATTTACATATTTTACACACAAAACTTTCCATAGGCTAGATAAATCAGCACATTCATATTTCCTGCACGGTTTGGTTTATGGTCTAAAAGAATACAATCACATTGAGCTAATCAGTAAGACACAGTAGAAACTACCACTAGTTCCATAATCTTGTCCATCTCTTTACTCTTCTCTTTACACTGTGTTGTGTGTGTTTGATTTAGTTTGTGTCGGACAAATTAGGTGGTTAGAAAATGTCTTGAACACCTAAGCTCCACCCCTCCCCTCACTGTATTTGGCCCCCACCTGTTCTCGCCCCCTCCCTCACAGTGCCTACTGTGTGCTAATAGCTGTCTGGTATTGTTTTGCTGTTTATGCCAAGCCCCTTGATGGACCATAGACTGTTCAAGCGGGTGAGTGCAGCCTCAGCAACTCAGTTCGTGCCTCTTCCACTTCCTCTTTCTCTCTCTTTCTCTTTCTGTTATTCTGTACGCCTCTTATCTCCCTTTCTGTCTCTCACTCTTTAATAACACAATTATCTCCTCCTGAGGTCTCGGCCTTCGCATTCTCTCCTTCCTTCCCTCAGTCTCATTTTCTCTTTTGCTCTTTTCCTCCCATCCCTCCACCCACCTTTCCTCCTTCTCCATCACTGTTGCTTGATGCCTGCTTGCATGAAGGCTGCCGACTGGAGCCACAGGTGGACTGACAAGCTCAGATTTCAGATCTCGAAAAACTAACAAAATGCTTATGAATGACAATATCACTGCAACACTTAACAGGCACTTCTCTGACTCTCTTTATCTCTGTCTTTCTCTCCTTGGGAATTACTTTTTGTTCTTATTGTTTTGTGTTTTTATTTCAGCTTTGTGTGGTTATGCAGATAGCCAGTTTGAGAAAATGGGAAGCTTTTTTTCAGTCATGTTTTATTCTGCTGCATGACGAGTGGTGACAACTATGAGCCTTGCTCTTCTACCTTTAGGCATGCTATGGGCCTGCTGTTTCTCAACTGGTTGTCTGTCTGTCTGACTGGCTGTGTGTCCTGTTTCTAGCCACTCGACAGACTGAGAGGGGGGTGTCCCCTCCGATTTCCTTTTGCTAAAACTTGGTCGAACTGTTGAATGTGTAATGTCCACTGGTTTATCAAAACAGAACCGATACATTCATATAAAATAAAAGGTACACCTGAATGGGAGAACAAAAATGATATGTGTACGTTTGAACAGTTCCATTTTTCACAAACCTTTACGCCTTGCTACATGCATATTTCATGTCTTTACCCTTTACCATAAATACTGTACACGGTCCTAAAATAGGGCATCATGCTTTTAGAGCAGGGGAGATTGTTATTGTAACCACCTCTACACTTCCAAAGGGTGTCTGCTGTTCTGTGATATAGGTTAGGAAGCTGTGATAGCATATAGGTCACAGAACAAAAACAAACAATAGGTTCCTCCACCCTTTGGGACTACAACACAGGGATGTAATGGATTCATACCTCCAGGGAGTTCTCCTGCTCAGTTTGAGAGGATGTGGCTCACACACTCACTCACACATACACACCGGATCTAAGTAGTCTGCCTCTCTTCAATACATAAATGTTGCAGAAGTTATCTTCCGCTAAGAATAAGTGTTGGGCTAAATCCATTACATGACAGCAGTTGATGTGTTAAAGTCAAATGCTAGGGTAAAGAGTTCTCTGTGAACTACAGGCTGACCTCTTTTTGCACACACACTGGAGACACAAGTCTCTTCTATGAACCCACACACACTGCTGGTGCTATTCTTTTGTGAACTGCCAGACAATGCATTCATAAATAGTTGAATTGTGATTTGCTTTTCCCTCCTAAAAACAGAGCAATTCTTCTCAGCCTCTCTCTGTTTGTTTGACAATTATCTGAGTTATCTTAGTCGTTTTTATGTGAAATTGTCATTGACGTAGATGTTAAATACTAATTATTATGTGCTCTTCAATACTGACGAAATAGATTTAAACTGAAAGACAGGTTCACATTATATTATATTCTTTGTATAACTGAACAGTACCTCATGCTGAAGTTTGAGAATAAAAGTGTTCCAGGTCGCTGAAAAGTGTCACTTTAAAACCTGTAACAATGACTAGAATAATAACTGTAATTAAAATAATGATGATATCATTACCATATTGTGTTAGAAAGGACCCTTCGCAATTAAATGCATTTCATGACAAGAATGAATGTATTTCTTCCGTCACATAAGCATTTCATCCTGAATGTAATTCTTTAGATTAACATGGTAATGATTGTGTAATTGTGCTGTAATTATCCTCTTTTGTTCGTTCCTAAGTGCAAGTTCAATTCAACCCTGACCAACGTTTTCTTTCACAGAGCAGCCGCAGTTCCTGAGGATCTGGGCTGACTTGATTTAGTTCTGATTGTTCTGGCTGAACAGTGTGATACTGTTGCTGCTTGTCACTCGAGTCGTGGATGTTGTATTCATGGACGCTTGTCTCTCTCTGTGTTCCAGGGTGAAAGAATTGAAAAGGGCCAGGGAACATGAGACCCCTCAGAAGAGCCCCCTCACCATTTGACATCACTCTCCTGTCTCCTCTTTTCTGTTTTTGTTTGTACCCGAGACATTTTACAAGAAAAATGGAAAAAAAAACATCAATGCAAGCACTGCAATTATTACTACTACTGCAGTGTTACCGGTTCAACTTCTAATATGTACAACAGCATTTTTTCACATATCTATTCTTTCCACTGACTTGGTTTTTGACGGAGAGTGGCAACTTCTACGGGATTATAAACTAAAAGGGTCGGGGTGGGGGGTGCAAAACATTTGCTTCATGGCATTTTTTGCACTTTTTCATGGATTGCTTTGTCTTTTTCGAATATATGGAGAGGTTTTGGACGATGAAGGAAGCAGGACATGCGTGCGGAGGTCTGTCAAACGCGAGGACCTCAAGAGACGTAAATTAAGACTGCTGCAGAGGATCTCAGAGGATAGTGAGACCACGCAGAAACACTCTGGGCTCTTATTGTGTTTCATAATTTTTTAAGTGACCAATCAATTCATTTGAAGAAGGATTTTTTTTAACCAAATACATTGGTCACCCACACTCCCACTTCTTTCCACTGCTGTAGATGAAATGATATTCAATTTAGCTCAACAACTCCTGCTGTCCCACTGTGCTCTACCCCACCAGTCTGCCCGCACGGGTGGAGCTACAAATGAATGTAGTCCGGGGTTTAACCATTACGAAGCAGATGGGTGATAAAATATTTCTCTTTTGCCATTTCTTAAAGAAACCCTATGCTTTATCGTATATATTGTCACTTTATTACTTGAATTTGTTCCATACTGTCCAATGTATTTGTTCCATCATGTCCAATGTATTGGTGATCTGTATCCTCAGACTCTATGTTGTTGAATCCTACCAAGAAAAGATGCATGACTTCTTGGCAAGAAAAGTCTTTGCTTGTGTGATTATGGTCTAGTCTTTCAGCCTAACCTCTGATGTTCTCTTTTGTTTCCATCTTCTCCCTCATGATTTCGATCATATCAGTATTGAAGCTATCCCTGTATTGTCCTGTTTCTTTTTATTTGTTGATTGATCCTCTGAAACCTAACAAGAGAAAAGAACTTGCCTATTTTGTGTTGTAATGGTTATGGTCATGCAGGTTATTAATGTTCTTTTTAAATGAACTTCAGAGCCTGCGAAGGCTGTTGAGGGGAAGATCACATACATTGCCTTGACGTCTTAGAGATTCTTTGAGGGGTCCCTAAGCTTGTCCCAAAATAGGGGTTTGACAAATCCATATTTTTGACAATTGAGCGATTTCTGTATATAAAGAAGGCTGAAAGTACGTAGGAAAAAACATTTACCCGAAGGGGATTGTATTTTAGAAATATATTATTTTATTCATTAAAAATGGGTCAAAAACAGGTACGAGACAAAAACAGAATATTTGTATAGTTTTGTTTGAATGCCTAAGAAGTATGGTTGTATTGTTTGTAAATAGTGTAAATACCTGGGATAAAAATGAGCTATGTGCATGAAAAGTATGAACAGAGTCAAAAGGGAAAAAACAACAAAAGCAGTAGTGGCTATGCTCTGTAAAATTAAACTATTTCACTATTAGAGTATTTTATTTTATTTTGATTGTTCTTGAGAAGAACATTTCTGCTAAAGCATGATATTATTGCAATATAAAAAAACTACAAAAAAATGTATTTAGAGTTAGGAGAAGTCTGCAAAATGATCTTAAAACAAGTATGGTTATGTTTACATTTCTTTTGTTTTGTTTTGGGCTACCAAGAATCTTTTGCCAATGGTGCCGAGGTATGGGAATGCTATATAGCTTAAGAAGAGAATTAAGTTAATTTTTGCAGAACAGATAATCATACAGTGAAATACACACTAGCACTGAAGACCATGAGATCACAAGTGGTCGAGGATCACTCGAACAATAAGGTACACAGTTTGCAGAGGGAGTCATATTCAAGCAGAACGCATTGAAGTCTCTCATGTCTCCACTTTTCACACTGATAACTGAAGCATTTGACCATCACTGAGTGCACCATAGCAGAGTTTGAGTTACATTTTTGTTGTCATTAAAAATGGAATGTGTTACTGAGGTATCTTGCCTGATCTGAAAGAATGGCAGCCTTGCCCATGGTGTTTCTACAAATCAAAATCATGTTATCCCTATTTCTTTAATTAAACTCTTCAAATGTACACTTTGCTGCAGCAAGCATTGATGTACTACTTATTGGCTGATCCCTGTAATAAACTGATGACCGGATATATATATACTACAATATGTCTTAATACAAAAACACCTTGATACAGGCTGCCATGCTCTTAACAGATCTTACTATTCTATGTCACAAAGATGTCTACCTGATGAACATGTTTAGCATTCTATACATGACTGGGTTTCTTTGTCAAGCAGCTGAAAATACAAAACGAACTGTTCCGACAGTAAAAGGTGCTAAACCGATTCTATCTGAAAGGACAGCACTAAAAGTTGTCACTGCCTCGATGCGGGGTCAATGAGCCAAAATGACTGTAGTAACCAATGTGTAAAACAGTGCCATTTATAGTTATGAGGCATACGATGTGTCTTGTACATTGGATTAGGTATATATTTGATTGGGCTGTAGGAACAATCTGAGAGAAACATGAGCTGCTGGTTTAGAGGTGCCTGTTGGTTGCTGCCTATTATATATTCCTACCAGAACTACCAGAAAGTGTATTCTGTATCAAAGTAATGACATTTGATTATTCAGCCAAGTGCCACTGAAAAACTTGATTTTTTTCATTGAAGTATTGTCATGTTTGTTTAATAATCATTAGGGATTTGTTTCATTGACTGACTGGTTGTTTTTATTGTTTTTCACACACTGGTATGTCAACTTTATTTCCCGAGTGTTAATGTAGAAAGTGCCTATTCATATCCTGATCACACAAACCCAGTGTCAGAATGCATACAATGTACCTGAAGTTGAGAGAATGTGAGAACATGGTCACCCACAGAAAGTGCTGTATCCTCTACATGAACACACACACCATCACCATCACCTTACACTCACCAAAGCCACAATATGATACTCCCACAGCACTCCAGCTTGTCAACATGCTACGCTTTATTTTCATTTGTATGCCTTGTTTTCTGTTTTCTAACGGGACAGCTTGTTAAATCATACTTAGAAGTGCCACTACTGGGGTTTGTTGCCTTGCATTCATCCTCCTGGTCCGTGGTAAGAATGCATAGCCAATGCAATGTCGTGGCAAAAAAGAGAAGGGATTTATTATGCTTGCATGGGTAAAATAGTTAACTGGGTGACCGAACTGCACCTAAAGCATGCTTATTTTCCTAGAATCTGTAGTCAGATAGACTTGTTAAAAGACTTACTGTTCTGTAAAACGATGACCGTTGGTTTGACGTGTCACAGAACTCAGAAAGACAGAGGGCATGTGACTGGAGGGCTGAAGGGAAACTCACAAATGAGCCAGTGATCAACACTCAGTAGCTACTGAGGTTTTCATAGCAAAGCATGAGGACAGGATTGTTTTTACACCAAGCTCTAACTTTTTAGACTCTTTTCTTTACTTTTTTGATTCTTTTAGATTTGATCAGTGTTCTCCCAACTTCAAATAGGACAAATGGACATGATTGGAGACCATTTGGACAGTATGTATAGCTAGTTTTAACTAAGTGACACACGGTACACACGGACACATGCACAAGACACAGCACACATGCAGACATGTCAAGGTGTCTGTTTCATTTGTTCGCTGAGCGGCATCGCTCTTCTCCAGCCTGAGGGACTGGTTCACCTCCCTTCTGTATTTTACTCAGGGTGCAAAATGGGGAGGAGGAAGCAGAGCAGGAAACATGATTCACAGCAGAGGCAGCTGAAATAGACAAATTAAAAACGTTGTGCTTTCTTGTAAAGGCAGACACTTAAGTCTTTAAAATGAATGAATATCAAATAATCCATATCCTCTCAGTAACTATGAACATTGCAGACACTGGAGTAGCCCTTGAATAAAGTCCCGATATATATATATATAGCTCATTAAGATAAATGATTTGGCTTTCTTCTAGAGAGGTCTGTCAAATCATTGAAACATTTCGGCCAGTTCTTTAGGCCTTTAATTTATCTAGATGACAGAGTGTGTAGAGGGTATTTAAGATTAAGAGATATATGAAAAGTTCACCTGCAAATCTTGTTTTTACTGCCATTTATGAATGGGATGACAGGTTAGCTGACTCTTCATATTTAACATTAGCAATTTTCAAGACGTTCTGTGAATTGACCTGGGAATCTGCCTTTCCTCCTCTTCTTTTTCCCGAGCGCCCAAACCAGAGAAAGGTAGGCACATCAGGACAACAGAACAGAAACGGTTTTACAACATATTCCACTTGTGGACACAGAGCAATAAAGAACTATTTTGTGGAGACCTATAGACCTAGTGAAGTTTAAAATGATTGGACACATGTAGTCGACTTTCTCTTATGCAAATGCCAGTATTGCAAGACAAGCATTCAGTAGTTTATGGACAGCAATTATATGGCACCCTTTACCGATCTGCACGTTTTCATCAATTCCAAACCGAGAAGAAGAAAAAAAGACCCTGCTTTGATAGAAAGTTACGGGTCCTCGACACTTTGCATGTGAACTAGTGTTAGATCTATTTTCCTCTCCTCTATAGCTGTCTTTCTCTCTGTCTTTCCCTGTTATGTGACCCAATTTTTCTCTGCTCCCGACCCCTACCCTTCAAGGTTTCATCTCCTCTCGGTTCTCCTAATGTGTTTTGTTTTCCTCCTTTTTCTTCCTCCTTCTCTTGTTTGTAAGTTTTATTTTTGTAATTGTGCATGTACAAGCGTCACTGACTCGATGGATATGTTTAAAAAAAAAGAAGAGATTTCAGCTGCTGAAGCCATGCAAAACGTTTTTGAATTGCCCTTAAAATATGGACGATGTTTTCTGAATGCTTTATATTCTTTCTGCTGTAAAATAATAAAAAAATGAAAAAATGAAGAAAACTCCTGAACCAAGTTTGCTCCGTCTTTTTGTTTCTTCTTTCACTTTAAGAAAGCAATCATTTGTTCTTCTACAAATGACTTTTCTTCAACACTTTGTATCAAGAAAAGACGATTAGACAGTATTTATAATATAGTTTTTATTTATATTTAACATCCAGTGCTGTACAACCCAAAGCTTTCACATTTAAAATACATTTGGTCATATATCAGACAAGGGTATTTTAATAAATACTTGTACACAAATATAGTTTTACACAATATGAACATAGTCTCCATGAAACATCTTAAAGACCCCACTCAACATGTCTCAATCATACCTATGGTATTGTTATTTTTCTCACATATTGACAGCTCTTATGAGGATGTGTATTTACATTACCTGGGCATGCATATGTGCTCATACAGTTCAAATGCATGCATGATGTTTTTTTTATTTTGATGGATTTAATAAAGTGAGTGCTAGATTGTGATGTTTTGTTTGAGTGCAAGCCCTGTCTCTTGTGTTTAGCTTGAATGCCTGTTGACGGTTTTAGACGCAGTACTTCCAGAAACACTCAGCGGTCCCTCCTCTCTTCCTGAACTGCTTCCGGATGCCCAGCACACGGCTGAAAGGATTTAGGAGACTTTGTTTCTCCAGTAGGACCTAAGAGACGGTATAAAGTAGTTTTAGTGAAAACATTTGTATTTACTTTGCTGTTTCAGGGATAAGACTGTTTTTTAGAAAGCTCACCTCTCTTTTAATCCCTCTGGGAAGCAGACCTGTTCTGACGCCTCAGAGAAGAAGAAAAAACATGAGGTTATTCTGATGTTTGAGATAGTTGTTGCTTTAGACATGTGTCTGTGCATGTCAGGTTTGTGAGGTAGTGGCAGAGTAGATGACCTCCAACCGCCTGGCTAGGTATCCAACCATAGAACTATATGATAAAGCTGAGATGAATTCAAAGTTGTAGCACAATGATTTTGCAAAAAGAAAGTGGGTGATTTTTCCTGGATAAAACAATTACCTGCATGTTAATATAAGAAACAGTGTGTGTCTTTGTGTTTCTTACCATCTCTGTTAAACTCCCCAGATATCAGAGTGGAATATCTGAGACCATCCTGAGAAGGGAAGTTCTGCTCGGAGAGAGACAGATCATCCAGAGCACCGACTCCGTCTTCCACTGACACTGAAGAGAACCGAACAACCACATAAAGTTGGAAGACATTTTCTTTTTGTCGTTTTTGAAATATTTAACATTGATTTTCACATTGGTGTTGATATATTCGACAGCAATTCATGATCATTTTACAGATAACTTTTTAAGTATTAAAAAGAAAACATAATATTTATTCTAATGGCATAAAAAGTCTCCTATCAATGGTCCATGTGTGTGAACTCTGGCAGAACAATCCCCGCTCAACACTGCAACTCTAAAGTAATAACTTCAATGCCTGACGACATGACCAACCTGACATTATTCTCTCATAGGTTGTATGACTAAAAATGATAATAGACGTACTTCATTGATGCAATTTTGCAAATACATGATAAATAGAGATATTCATTTCCACTCACCAGGTCCCGGATAGGACATCTCTGCAGATTCTGAGATGGGGTGGGCCAGCAGTGGGCTAGAGGCCAGGAGCAGGAAGGCCCAGGACAGGAGGTTACACTTCATCTCTACAGGACGTTGATGTTGGAAGATGCTCGGTTGCCTCAGGTGAAAACAAAGACTTGTACTTGCTCTGTTGGTCCAACTGGGTTATATACTACCAGCATTAGCCTGTCCCCCTTCCTGCATCTGGACACACACTCTTGCCACTACAGCCATCAGCAATATCCACAGTCCCATCCCTTCTGACTGCGATAAATCAACAGGGAGTCACAGGTGAATTATGGGCTCAATAAAAAGACAAGTGCCATGGCCCAGGCTTCAAGGGCACAGCCATGTTTTACCAGCCCTACAGCTTGATTGACTGTTTTACTGACTTTGTAAATAGGATTGAAGCAGGTGTTTCAGATGTCATTCACAACCACATCCAGGTGGAGCAGGTGGAGAAACTGGACAACTAAATTAATAATGCTTTTATGCTACCAGCTTATTAAACTCCTGGGCCATTTGAATGCTCCTGACCCAGAAAAAACAAACAATTGGAGCTGCAGTGAGACTTCCCAATAAAATAACATAATTGCTTGCACAGTGGATCAGTGTAAATGCTAAAACAGTTGAAGCTTTCTAACCTATAAGACATCTGACATTTTCAGTTTAAGAGCACCGAGAATTTTCCATGGGTCGCTGAACAGATTGATTTATGCACATTATTTAAAGGCCTTGTTCTGATTGGAAATGTGTTCTTTCACTTGTTCGTAGTCATGCTCATGCAATAAAACTCAAATGTATTAAGTCCAGCATAGAAAAAAAACATTTCCTTTCAATGCAGACTGGGGGACAGGCTGCACCTCTGTATGTAAATTGTTTATTTATTAGAAGTGTGACGTCAATGTTCAGTCACTTGTATGATAATGAGGGTCGACGAAGCGACAGTGACATTTAATTTTATAGCCAGAAGGCCAGCTACTCCATTAGGTTTTGCTACGCTTTGTATCATAAAAAGTTATTACGATTTATATTCTGTATTAGTCAAGGCCTTGCTGCCAATCCGGGCGTATTCCAGACTCTAAAATAAATGTTAATCCTACTATATATGGGGTCCTCTTTACACTTTTATGAGAAATCTTGGTTCAAGGTACAGGCGTTTCGTAAAAAACAAGGACACATACTGCTCCTTTTGAGATCCATGAAATATAATGTGGCTCAGGGAACAGATACAGAAAACATATCCTCATAGGCACAATAGACATGGTTAAGATGTTACAGTATCTTTTTACTTTCATTTTATCAACCCTTGATTTGACATTCACGCTAAATGGCTGGAGATTTCTTCTGAAAATACCAATTTTTTTCTTGATCTTCAGTCTTAATCTGCTAAAGGCCCATCATTGCAAAGCCACATGTCTCACAAAACAACTGTAGTATTCCAAGTTATGTGCCCTAACAGGTTTGTGTGACATGTTGTTGACATTATTCAACCTCTGGATTACTGACTGACGTATGAACAACCAGCAGAGGGCAATATTACGTCTAGAAAATCTCATTACATTTACCACGTTTACACATTTTCAGCAAATTAGTCTCCAGTCAGTGTGGTTTCTGAGGTAGAAAATATCTTTCTAGACACTTGTCTAATGTTTTCCTTCTTCCTTTTAGCAGTCTTCAAACAATCTCAGATTGACAGAGTGCAAATTGAATCACAAAACCTGTAGCCTTCAAAACCTTAAAAAGCCCGTAAATCCTCATCGTCATTGACATTTACAAGACCATTTTTAAAACCATGTCATCCTCCCTAGAAAATAGACTTTTGATATAATTTTTCTGACATCAGAGCAAAAAGGTTTCCTGCCTATCTGAATAAATCAGGGCTACCCAGGTGCACACTGGAGGAAAAGTTGATTGTCTGTTATTTCTCTCAAATGAAGTCTTCTTGAAACACAACTCAACAGAATTTTTTTGCTACACACTTACAACATGTTTTAAAACTCTAAAGTTGCCAACATGGTCACTCAAAGGTACTAAGCAGTTTTTATTCCAAAATAATTTCCCCTTTTCTATACATATTTACCGCTAGTTAATTACTGCACAACTGCATACTTCAGCATACTTGAAAATGTATGCTACATTCTTTGAGTGATTGGAACATTCGGTTTAAGTGTTGCCTTCAATAACTGTTGTAATATTGCAACTCACTAAGCACGCACGTACGTGGGTGCGTCTGGTGGACCTGTAGGCAATGCTATTCAAATTGTAATATAATATGGGATGTGTGTCACTTCCTGGAGATGAATCCTACCGTCTCTACCAGCGATAATATGGTACCGTGCGATTCTATATGTGTAAACCTTAGGCCTGACATATTTTATGCCGATTACCAGATTTACACATATTTGTAAACCAACAAGTCTTTGTTCCAATCGTCCTTATATAGCGAAAAAAACTATTGTAAAATAGGCTAATTGTATACTCTTATTGTCAGACATCGTGAGTCGTATGAGATAATCCTGAGTTTGATGGAGCACATGAAGGCAGCAGCTGTTAGCCGCCCCCTCTGAACGAGTAAACAGGAGCTGTGAAGAAGCAGCGACAGACAGTGGGCTAAGTTTGTCCTGCCCGGCTTCCCTTAACTAGTACAAGGGGCTTTGTGTCATTGAAGAACAGCGAGCGTCGATTTTGGTTTCACACTAAAACTAAAGGCGTCAGAAACACGTCCGTGACATTTTGGGATAATTTGTGTGGGCACAGAGAGGAGAGAGGGAGCGGACAAAGTTGACACTCCGCTGTCATGTTTGGTACTTGTTGCACACACACTCACACTGAACACTGGAGCCTGTAGTGTGGGCAGCGTGCTGGGAACAGGTAGGTTATAAATAATGACTCTTCGATACATAAACTCATTTAATGTTTGTTTGGTTATTATTCATTTATTTATCTCGACAAGACAACAATGTTCCCACTGCAATGCAGATACCTTTCATGCTCAAGTTATTGTAAACAGCCAGCAAGAACTATAATTTGTTCAGATGTTAGTGTTTGGCAGTGGCTTAAAGTATCTTAATACATTTACTCAAGTACAGTACTTAAATACAATTTTGAGATACTAGCACTTTTACTTGAGTATTATAATTAAAAGTATTAAATTAAGACGTTATTATTTTACTTTGACTACATTTGTTTTATACCTTTTGTGACTTTGCAGATTGGTATGAATGATAGGAAATATAATTAACATTTATAAGACTGCAGTTACACCTGGAGTAAATGCACAAGCTACCCTGTAGTGTTGAAAATGGGCCAATATGCATGAGTACTTTTACTTTTGGTACTTTAAGTATATTTTGATGCTTCTACTTTTGTACTTGTTGAGTCACATTTGCAATGCAGGACTTGTACTTGTAACAGAGTATTCCTAGACTCTGTACTTGAGTATATGAGTGCTTATTCTGCCTTTGGTGATAGGTAGACTTTATTGCATTAACACTTTTGAGATAAACCAGTAATCTGTTACATGTTAATTGTGTGACCAAATGTTTCTCTGTGTAGCTTGGATGTGTCTTCTCTATTTGCCATTAGGTCCCATTCTATTTAGCCTTATAAAATCTCCTTTCTGTTGTCAGGGTCTTCGGTATCACCATGAGGCTGTGACACAACAGGGACAATGATGGCAGAGCTGGAAATTGATCAGTCTAACCTTCCTCGTGTCCAAGAAGGTAACTGACTGACCCATCTCTCGCAACTTTAGAGACTTTACATATGGAAAAAGTGTGTGTGCAGAATGTACCATGGTTAATGGTCTCTCCTGGAGAAAAGTTGTATTTGTTCAGCCCCTCATGGAGGTCATGGCTCAGGGTCAGCTACTAAACTGCAGACACTAAGCCACGAGGGGTTTAAGTATTTGATTCATGGACACTTCAACACTAAGGACAGACTTGTTCAACAGTCTGCAGCCGGCTTTAGAGAGAATGAGATGAGAACGTGCCATTTGTCTCCGTTTTGTTGCTTTGTGAGTAACTGGCCTTGGCACCAAATGGCAGCTTTGCTTCTGTTCTTTTGTGTCTGTGTTTGATTTCTGTGGCTTCAATAGTCTACCTCAGATAGGAAGTCGCTTGCCATATGTTTTGTCTATATGCAGCAGATACAGGTTTAGAAATATGTCTGTACAGAGATGGATCTCATCGCAGAGTGTTCCGGCTTCAGATAAGAGAAAGGAGGAATGAGGTAGCTTTTTCGGATATGATATTTCTTAGGGAAAAAGTGCTATCACTAACTTAAGTGTAGTCTAACTTTATAGAAAGCTTCAGAGCTAATTGGGAATACTTTATCATGTCAATTAAATCATAATTGCTCTTAATAGGATTGGTCTGGACTTTCAAGTAAATCTGGCTGCGCTTTAGTTAAAGCCACAACACTATTGGATGAACATTGTGGCACATATGAGTCATAAAGTAGTGATGAACATAGGAGAATATGCCATAATGACAACACAAATATTCACAACAACAACAACATAATCTGTCATTGCCATACTAATGCTTACAGCTCTAATGAACTAAATGAGTTGTATCTGTTTGCGTGTAAGTATGAAAACAGTGGCAGGTGGAATGTCTAAGCGCTGGCCTGGGTGTAGACGGTCTTTGGCGTGTCCACACTAATGAATGGAATAGAAATAGGTCTGCATGTCTTTTATCAAGGGAGATAATTCAGCACTGCGCTCTTGTTTCCATACACAAAGGCCACACTGTGCAGCTTTGCATTCTTATGCTTTATTGAGCAGGGGCCAGTGCACAAACAAAGGTGGTAATGGCAGCAATAAAGTGCTCGTTGAGACAATAGCAGCATGTAAATCAGCTGTCTGCGCGGTGTATTTATTTTCCGCTCATCATCCACTTTCACCAGACAGATATGATAAACTGTGCTGCTGTCCCTCTCTGTGGCACCGGGGGTTGTTTACTTAACATTGTGGGTGTTTATACTTCAATTTCCCTAAGAGCCGTAGTTCCCCTTAGCCCACTTCTCCTTCACTTTCCTCCTCTTCCGAGAGTCTCAGCCAAGTCAACTCTCTTTGT